TGCAAAATTTATATTGAAAAATTGAACATAGAAAAATCGATGAATTGAAAAATCGAAAATTCGACTACTCAGATTTTTTAAAAATCGAAAAATCATAAAACTGAAAAATCCAAAATTCTAATCATCGAAAGTCTGAAAACTGAAAATCGAAAATTCTGAAAAGCGGCAAATAGAATATCGAAAAATTGAAGTCTAAAAACCGAAGAATGGAAAAATTAAAAATCAAAACCGAAAAGTTCAAAGATTTAAAGACAAAATTGAAAAATCAAAAATCTGAAAATTGAAACTCGAAAATTTGGAAAATCGAAAAGTAAAAATATTGAAGTCTAAATGCTGAAAAGTGGAAAACTGAACAATCGAAAATTCGAAAATCATATATCGAAAAATCGAAAAGCCGAAAAATCGAAAATTTGATAAATCAGATACGCGAAAAACAGAAAATCTGAAAATGCAAAACTGGAAAATCAAAAATCTAAAAATGGAAAAACCGAAAATCGAAAATTCAATGAATCTAATACGTAGGTCGATCGAAAAACTGGAAATTCACAAATCTGAAAAATCGAAAATTTGCAAGATTGAAAAACCAAGAATTGGAAAATCAAAAAACCGAAAAATGGAAAAATCAAAAATCGAAAAATAGGAAAACCGAAAATTCGAAAATTCATAATATTGAAAACTCTAAAAGTCGACAATTCAAAAATCAAAAAACTGGAAAGTAAAATAATCGAAAAATCGAAAAGTAAACAAATTGCAAAGCCTAAAAACTGACGAACAGAAAAATCGAAAAATCGTAAAATCAAAAAGTGGAAAATCGAAAACTGGAAATTGAAAAATCGAAGATTGGAAAATCGAAAAATCGAAAATCGGAATATCGAGAATCGACAAATTAAAAAACCGAAAGATCAAAAAATTAAAAAATCGGAAATCGAAAAATGAAAAAAAAAACGAAAATTCAAAAATCGAATAATCCGAAACTAAAATAATAGAAAAGTGGAAAAGTAAAAATTGCGAAGTCTCAAAACTGACGAACAGAACAATCGAAAAATAAAAAAAAATCGAAAAATATCTAAACATGGAAAATCGAAAAATCGAAAATCGGAAAATGGAAAAACCGAAAAATCGAAAATTCGATGAAACAAATACTCGAAAAAGCGAAAAGTAAAAAAATTGCAAGGCCTAAAAATTGAAAAATCAAAAAATCTAAAAAATGAAAATCGAAAAAACGACGATCGAAAAAAAATCAAAAAATCGAAAAGTGGAAAATCGGAAAGTAACAAAATTGAAATCTAAAAGCTGCAAATTGCAGAACCATAAAAACTTAAACAAACAGAAAAATCGAAAAACAACAAAAGCGGAAAAACGAAAATCGCAAATCGAAAAATCGTAAAATCAGAAAATGGAAAATCGAATAATCGAAAGTTGAAAAATCGAAGGTCGAAAAATAAAACAACCGAAAAATCGAAAAATTTTATGATTAATGGAAAATCGAAAAATCGAGAATAGAAGAATTAAAAAACCGGAAAATTGAAAAATCGGAAATCGAAGAATTAAAAACGTAAAATCGAGAATTCAAAAATCAAAAAACTGGAAAGTAAAATAATCGAAAAATCGAAAAGTAAACAAATTGCAAAGCCTAAAAACTGACGAACAGAAAAATCGAAAAATCGTAAAATCAAAAAGTGGAAAATCGAAAACTGGAAATTGAAAAATCGAAGATTGGAAAATCGAAAAATCGAAAATCGGAATATCGAAAAATGAAAAAAAAAACGAAAATTCAAAAATCGAATAATCCGAAACTAAAATAATAGAAAAGTGGAAAAGTAAAAATTGCAAAGTCTCAAAACTGACGAACAGAACAATCGAAAAATAAAAAAAAATCGAAAAATATCTAAACATGGAAAATCGAAAAATCGAAAATCGGAAAATGGAAAAACCGAAAAATCGAAAAATCGAAAATCGAAAACTCGAAAAATCGAAAATTCGATGAAACAAATACTCGAAAAAGCGAAAAGTAAAAAAATTGCAAGGCCTAAAAATTGAAAAATCAAAAAATCGAAAAAATGAAAATCGAAAAAACGACGATCGAAAAAAAATCAAAAAATCGAAAAATGGAAAATCAGAAAGTAACAAAATTGAAATCTAAAAGGTGCAAATTGCAGAACCATAAAAACTGAAACAAACAGAAAAATCGAAAAACCACAAAAGCGGAAAAACGAAAATCGAAAAATCGCAAATCGAAAAATCGTAAAATCAGAAAATGGAAAAATTTTATGATTAATGGAAAATCGAAAAATCGAGAATAGAAGAATTAAAAAACCGGAATATTGAAAAATCGGAAATCGAAGAATTAAAAACGTAAAATCGAGAATTCAAAAATCAAAAAATCAGAAAGTAAAATATAATCGAAAAGTACAAAAAAATTGCAAAGTCTAAAAACTGACGAACAGAAAAATCAAAAAATCTAAAAATGGAAAGACGAAAAATCGAAAATTGAAAGAATGGCAAATTAAAAAATCGAAACACCGAAAAATCAAAAAAACGAAAAATTAAAAAATCGGAAAACGAAAAAACTGAAAACTCGAAAAATCAAAATACCGCAAATTTGAAAAATCAGAAAATTAGAAAGTAATAAAATCGAAAAGTTGATAGAAAAATGGAAACTGAAAAATCTAATTCGTGAAACTGTTGGTCGAAAAAACGAAAAATCGAAAATCGAAGTGACCTTTTTTGAGACAGGCTGTATAAGTAAATCTAAAAAATATTACTGCAATGATAAATCACAGGTATAGACTCATCATATCAAATTTTACGATGACGTCATGAATTTTTTGGCGAAGATAAGCAAATACATTTTGATCGTGGCTTTGAAAGTATTCTTCGACTTTCGTTCCATTTCAAAATTTACTCTTTGTATATTTCAGTGGTCACAACGAGTTCACTAACTACGCTGAAGTATGCAAAGATTAAATTTGTCACCGAAAAGATGTCGGAATAAAGCGTCAAATTTGATTGATAAACTTTAAACCAAAATTATGAAGTTTATACACTGAATTTTTTTTTTTGCTTTTTGAAATGTACTACACTTTTGTGAATTTTATAACTATGGTCGGCACAATTAGACCTAATATTAGTGTGATTTTGAGCATATTCTCGATGTTATTAGAGCAGGACAGGTTTCTTTTTCTAACTAATTGACAAGATTTCAAACTATTCAGTTTTGCAATTCTTGATTTCTTCAATAAAATAAATTGACTCAGTCATTTTTTTTTAGTCACCCTGTATGTATAAACAAATCCAAAAAGTATTAGTGGAATGGTAAATCACAAGTATAGACTCATCATATTCTGAACATTTCAGATAGGGTATTTATAAAATTAAAACTAATTCAGGGTAAGAATTTGGTCAACACGTAAATTTCGTTGTAGTTTGAGCCTACCTACAAATTCTAGTAATTGACTGAAATAATAGTAATTGAGAAGTGTCCGTTCCAGTAAGTTCACAGTCCACACCCTGGCCATCTTCTAATTGTGTCAGATAATGTAGGGTAATGTAAGATTAATTTTAGTTTGTACACAAGTGACCTGCGTGGTATGCGAACTGGGGACAGAGAATACCGAGAAGTGACAATTTCGACCGGAATGCGAGTTTTGGCTGGGTGTGACCCTTATCGGAGAGTAAATAGAGGCGAAGTTGCGTTTATTACTAAGTAAAAATGAAACGATGCTTCTTTTCTTCTTCTAGATTATTTAACACTTATAAATGCAATATTACTTTGCTTCGATGTAAATTAGCAACACTTTTTCTCGGCGAACTGTCAAACTGTAAATTTCCCAGAGAATACCAAGAAAGGACAACTGTGATTTAAATGACACCAGTTTCGAGCCACTCTGATCTTCATCAAAATTGTAGGTTTACTTTTTCTTGAAGTCTTGTGTATAGGAAAAATAATAAAGGTCCGAGATTAGACCCCTGTGGTAGTCCAGAAGTAGGTAGACTAGGTTTTGCATAAAAGTTGCGATATCTTACTATTACTTAAATAAATCGTCCACCCACCCCCGCACGCCGCCTTGCCGTCCCCGAATCGAAGAAACTTTCTCTTTCCTATGCTTCGACTCCCCCACCCAGCAATTAAAAAAATTAACTTCAACTAATTGTGTACCCGAGCTAATCTCTCTTTTGTCCATAAATTAAATTTCACCCAATTAAAACACAATGTAGCGCTAGCGCCGGCCTCAGATACTTAACGAAATAATTTACGAGTGCTTTAAAGCCATACTCGTCGCGCCTTCGCAAGACGGTGTTTTCTACACGTGTTTCTTTTCTTCTCCGAGTGAAAAAAATTGCTGAATTGCCGAGACCTGCGACGTTTTAAGCTGAACCGAACAGTAAACTTTGTTACGTCTCCTTCCCCGGTTTTATACGCCCGTAAAATTACATTGTTGGTGTTGAGTGGGTTAAGCAAATTTTATTAAGCAAGGTGGAAAAGGTTCAACAATTTTGAATTAATGAAAGATAATTAAACGAGTTTGTCTCTTTGTTTGTGTTTTCCTGTTTCGTGTTTGAAGGGAGCACTGTCGGAGTAATTATGTGGGTTATTTCTTTTAGATTGGGAACGAGGAACGAGCGAAGTTTTTACGAGCAGAGTTTGGGTTTATTTTTCAGCGGCGTTCTAGTGGGGATTTTTGGAAGATTAGTGCTTTTAATGTAATAATGAGCACTTGCAAAGTCACCCCTTAACTATTTCCGCAGTTTAAAAATGTCAATTCCCCCATTCCGGGGTTTCTCACCTTACTTATTCGCCGTATTAATCACCCCCTATCAAAGGGTGTTTTTGCGACCGCATTGTTCCCCTCTTCCGTGTTCGCCGCCGTCAACTCGGCAAGAGTTAACGGAATAATTTATCCGCCAGCGCCCTCAAGAAATCTCCCATTTGTATCCCGAGTAATCCTTCGGGTAAGTGTATTGTGCGTACATTAATCCCATTTCCGGTTGACTTCCAGGGTGGAGCGCTTGGAGCGACTGGTCGGCGTGCAGTGTGAGCTGTTCTTCCGGAATACAACAGCGCACCCGCCACTGCCTCCGTGCCGAATGTCCCGGATTCAACGTGGAGCAGCGACACTGTAATCTATTCGGGTATGCTGTGTATTATATTAGGGCTTAATTATGTTTAAACTCGGCTTTGTGCCCCGACTTGGATTTGCTTTGGTGAAGAATAGCTGCATCGCGGCGCAGATGATGCTCCGAATAATGAGGAGGCTACCTGGGGTGGAAACGTAAGATAATCAGGGGAAGAGGGCAAAAAATTCGAACAAGTTCGGGCGCTTCTGAAGAAGAAATTTTAATTAGAGTTTAGAAGCAAATTTTTAAGGTGACGTCATTACAATATTGATGGGGATGTATTGATAATTTGTCTGTCCGTCCGTCTGTCCGGCTGTCTGCCCTCGCGATTTTTATTAGACATATAATCAGATTTTGATCAAAATGTATCTACTCATCCCCCCTAAAAAATTGATGACGTCACCTCAAAATATTGTTGAAAATATCCTATCATAAATGTGCAAAATCTGATGAGTCTATACTTGCGATTTATTTTTAATAGATAACTAGCTGACCCGGCCACGCGTTGCTGTGGCTAAAGTTTTTGTTATATTACATTATAGTAAACAATCTAAGAGGAACAATAAGAGAACATCAGTCACGGAGTCCACTATACTTTTTCACACAGATGGTATTTGTAAAAAAATATGGTGATCTCCTTATTTGACTTTCTACTACTATAACCCTTTAGTACAATGAAATTATTTACGAACACAGACGAAAATGTTGATGTTGGTACACAAATTCACTGGATTGAGATTTGAAGGGGAAGTACGTTGAACACAATATTTCGTTCACTACAAAATAAATTTAATTAATTTTATAGCGTCAACAACACGTGGTAATTATGATGTTAAAATGTAGCTTATATGACACGTTCGTAGATTTACCAAAGCAGCGCCATCTATTGATTACTTACTCAACCCAGTCGACAGGTATCGACATCTGTTAGAATCATTTGGAGTTAACAGATAATTGTGACTGTCAAATAATAACAGACAAATAATTAGCAATAAATTAAAATGGCGACTATATTTTGAGATTTAAACTATCCTATCTCTCAAGTTGGATCGAACTGCACATGGTGTGCGAATTTTATTATAATCGGTTAAGTGGTTTAGCAGTCCATTGAGGACAAACATTGTGACACGAGATTTATATATATTAAGATTAATATATTTTTTTAATTTTCTTATACAGGGTGGCTCAGAAAAATCAATGACTGAGTTGTTAAAAAATAAATGTCCAATCAGATTCAGGAATTTAACTCGTTACTATGGAAATATGAAATTTAACACCTTTTAAATTCAACAAGTTTGATAGGGGCAAAATCACTGTTACCTTAACAAGTGCTAGCCCCGCCCACCCGCCCTCTATTTTTTCAGAGGATATGTCGTCTGCCAAAATCAGTATTAACTTACCAAATACTTGCCCCGCCCACCCGCCCCCTGTTTTCTCTGGGATATATCATCTGCCAAAATCAGTCTTATCTTACCAAGTACTAGGCCCGCCCACCCGCCCCTATTTTCTCAGAGTATATGTCATCTGCCAAAATAAGACTTATCTTGGCAAGTACTAGCAAGTAATACCCTCTGAGAAAATAAAGGGCTGGTGGGTAGGGCTAGTACTTGATTACATAAATCTTATTTTGGCAGATTATATATCCACTCAGAAAATAGGGGGCGGGTGGGCGGGGCTAGTATTTGGTAAGATAAGACTGATTTTGGCAAATGATATATCATCTGGGAAGAGAGGGGGCGGGTGGGCGGGGCTAGTATTTGGTAAGATAAGACTGATTTTGCCCCTATTAATCTTGCAAATACTCCATAGTAACAAGTTAAGTTCCCAAATCTACTCGAAATGTGCAAAATGTGATGGGTTTATACTTGTAATTTATCATTGCATTCATATTTTTTAGATTTGCTTAAAGAAGTGGCTCAAAAAAATGAATGAATGTTTCAGTTTATTTTATTGATTAATCCCAAGGTTCCTAGTGTTGATGTTTGTTTTTTGAAAAAGATCAAATAATCTATGAGACCACTGGTGGTTTACTTTTTGAAAAAATTTGAAAGAAAGTCCCTTGTATATCTTATTTTAAGAAATCTAAAAATTTTGTGTCCCAGGTGTTCTGTTTAAAAGAAAATAAAAACAAACTTGAGGATCTTTCCTAAAGAATTGGAAAGAATCTTGAAGTGCCCTAGCGTTCCTTTTTTTTAGATTTTAATAGAAAAAGAATTTGAAAGAATTTCAAGATTCCTACTGGCCAGGTTTTGTTTTTGAAAAAAATTAAAAAACGTGTGCGACCAATGGTGTTTTATTTTTTGCAAGAATTTGAAAGGAAAGTATGTTATTTTAAGAAATTTGCAATTTAACACCTTTAAATTTAACAATTGATAGGGGCAAAATCACTTTAATCTTAGCAAGTTCTAGCCCCGCCCACCCGCCCCCTATTTTCTCAGAATTTATGTCATCTGCCAAAATAAGTTTTACCTTTGCAAGTACTAGCCGCGCCCACCCGCCCTCTATTTTCTCAGAGGATATGTCGTCTGCCAAATCAGTCTTATCTTAGCAACTACTGGCCCCGCCCACCCGCCCCCTGTTTTCTCGAGGATATATCATCTGCCAAAATCAGTCGTATCTTACCAAATACTAGCCCCGCCCACCCACCCCTATTTTTTCAGAGGATCTGTGATGTGCCAAAATATGACTCATCTTGGCAAGTACTAGCAAGTAATACCCTCTGAGAAAAGAAAGAGCAGGTGGGCAGGGCTAGTACTTGATTACATAAATCTTATTTTGGCAGATGATATATCCTCTGAGAAAATAGGGGGCGGGTGGGCGGGGCTAGTACTTGGCAAGATAAGACTGATTTTGGCAATTGACATATCCCCTGAGAGAATAGGGGGCGGGTGGGCGGGGCTAGTATTTGGTAAGATAAGACTAATTTTGGCAAATTACATATCCTTTGGGAAGACATTGGGCGGGTGGGCGGGTCTAGTATTTGTTAAGATAAAACTGAGCACTGCTGTTTTACTTTTTGAAAAAATTTGAAAGAAAGTCCCTTGTATATCTTATTTTAAGAAATCTAAAAATTTTGTGTCCCAGGTGTTCTGTTTAAAAGAAAATAAAAACAAACTTGAGGATCTCTAGTGCTTTTCTAAAGAATTTGAAAGAATCGGGAAGTGCCCTAATGTTCTTCTTTTTAAGAACTTAATAGAACCTTTGGGGCATCTGGTGTATGATTTTTGAAAGAAATGAAAATGATCTTCTGGATTTCTGGTCCTTCTTGAAAGAATTTGAAAGAATCTCAAGGTTCCTAGTGTCGAGGTTTTGTTTTTGAAAAAGATTCAAAAATCCATGAGACCACTGGTGTTTATTTTTTTAAGGAATTTGAAAAAAAAGTCCCTTGTGTCTTATTTCAAGAAATTTAAAAATAAAGGGTCCCGGGGGTTCTGTTTTGAAAAAAAATTAAAAAACCTTGAAGATCTCCACTGCTTTTCTAAAGAATTTGGAGGATTCTGGAAGTTCCTTTGTGTTCTTTTTTTAAACAACTTAATAGAACGTTTTAGGCGCCTGGTGTCTGATTCTTGAAAAAAATTAAAAGGAGCTTCTGGATTTCTGGTACTTCTTGAAAGAATTTGAAAGAATTTCAAGGTTCCTAGTGTCGAGGTTTTGTTTTTGAAAAAGATCAAAAAATTTATAAGAGCACTGGTGTTTTACTTTTTGAAAGAATTTGAAAGAAAGTCTCTTGTAAATATATCTTATTTTAAGAAATTTAAAAAATATAGCGTCCCGGGTGTTCTGTTTAAAAAGAAATTAAAAGAACCTCTAAGATCTCCAGTGCTTTTCTAAAGAATTTTAAAGAATCCGGAAGTTCCCTAGTGTTCTTTTTTTAAGATCTTAATAGAACGTTTGGGGCGTCTGGTCTATGATTTTTGAAAAAGATTAAAAGGACCTTCTGGATTTCTGGTCCTTCTTGAAGGAATTTGAAAGAATCTCAAAATTCCCAGTGTCGAGGTTTTGTTTTTGAAAAAAATTAAACAACGTGTGGAACCACTGGTGTTTTATTTTTTGAAAGAAATTGAAAGAAAAGTATGTTATTTTAAGAAATTTGCAATTCAACACCTTTAAATTTTACAAGTTTTTACAAGATTAATACGGGCAAAATCACTTTTATCTTAACAAATGCTAGGCCCGCCCACCCGCCCTCTCTTTTCCCAGAGAATATATCATTTGCCAAAATCAGTCTTATCTTACCAAGTACTTGCCCCGCCCACCCGCCCCCTGTTTTTTCGAGGATATATCATCTGCCAAAATAAGATTTATGTAATCAAGTACTAGCTCCGCCCACCCGCCCCTATTTTCTCAGAGGATATGTCATCTGCCAAAATAAGACTTATCTTGGCAAGTACTAGCAAGTAATACCCTCTGAGAAAGCAAAGGGCGGGTGGGCAGATCTAGTACTTGATTACTTAAATCTTATTTTGGCAGATGATATATCCTCTGAGAAAATAGGGGGCGGGTGGGCGGGCCTAGTATTTGTTAAGATAAAACTGATTTTGGCAAACGACATCCTCTGGGAAGAGAGGGGGCGGGTGGGCGGGCCTAGTATTTGTTAAGATAAATCTAATTTTACCTTTATTAATCTTGTAAATACTCCATAGTAACAAGTTAATTCCCAAATCTACCCGAAATGTGCAAAATATGATGGGTTTTTACTTGTAATTTATGATTTCATTCATATTTTTTAGATTTGCTTTAACAAGTGGCTCAAAAAAATGAATGAATGTGTCAGTTTATTTTATTGATTAATCCCAAGGTTCCTAGTGTTGATGTTTGATTTTTGAAGAAGATGAAATAATCTATGAGACCACTGGTGTTTTACTTTTTGAAAAAATTTGAAAGGAAGTTAATTGTATATCTTATTTTAAGAAATCTAAAAATTTTGTATCCCAGGTGGTTTATTTGAAAGAATCCGGAAGTGCCGTAGTGTTCTTCTTTTTAAGAACTTAATGGAACGTTTGGGGCATCTGGTG